AGGAGGTGTTGACATAGCAGATATGACACCCTTCAAACATGAAGAGCAGTTTCAAATGCCTACAAAGCTTGCAAAAGTAAGATAGACAACTTTTTCGCTGAAATAATTTTATGTCGTCACCGATATTTTCTCTCTCTCTCTGGTCTTTTTAAAATCTTAGGATATCGTGAGCATTTTGGGGGTGGGAATACATTTCTTTTTCCTTTTAGCCTCTGTACTGGTGCTCTTTCTATTTAGTTAGGATGGCTTTTTTCAAGCGACCTTGCTGCACCCTTATTGGCACTGTAGAAAGGCAGACAATTTGTGCAGACTTGAAAATACAAAGATAATAGGGTGTTCCATTCTGGTAGTACTTCTAAACCTGGGCTTAGAAATTACATGCTCATTGTGGGTGTTTCCTTATAGCGTATCTCTGTGTACATATAGACTGACTTCCTCAGGCCACACTCTGAGATGTGGGATTGCCTTTTTAACTCTAAGGGACGGACGTCTGTCCTTCTTGGGCCACACTGCCCTCCCTTCTGCTTCTGTCCTTTCCCACAGTGTGTGAGCCCGTTTCCTTGGATCCTGGTACCGAGCTCATTTTAAGGCCCGTCATCCCTGTTAGGACCACGTGGACATGGGTGTGGGTGGATGTGCACGTGCACTGAGAGCCCTTCCTAAAGAAGGGCTTCCCTGAGCCGCATCCTGGGTCTGGGGACACGGAGCTGAGTCTGAGTGGAGAGCCCATAAGTGGGGAGTCCGCTGTGATTGACCGCTGGGCAGGAGGCAGGACAAGCTCTGGGAAGGGATGGGCACCAAGGAGGACCAGACGCACTTCTGCTGCTGGGGGATTTACCAGGCGGCCATGGGCTCTGGAAGGCTGAGCTGGAAGGTGTTCCAGGCACAGGGCCTCTGACAAGGGCACAGTCCTTGGGTCTGTCCTGGTGGGGAGAGGGGCAGGCGGGAGGCAGGCCTGAAGGCGGAGCTGTGACGAGGAGTGTGGAAGTGACACACGTAGGTTGAGAACAGGGACCCTGGTGATCCTGGGGAAGAGGCCCGGGGAAGGGAGAAGCTAGGGGCCGGAGGCTAGTGTGGAGGCTGCCGCAGTGTCCACTGCGAGAGGCAAGGGCTGGACCACTAAGGCGGGGCGGGCTCTGATTTGGAAGTGGGGTGTTTGATTGCTTTTTGGACGATGAGCAGAAGGGACAGGATTTGGAGATCTATTAACTCGAGAGGATGAGGAAGAAGGAAGAACCAGGGAAGATGCTGAAGTGTCCGTTTGGGGGAACGATAACTCAGGGAGGAAAATACAAGGAGAAGGAACAGGTTTTGGAGAAGAATAGGGAATTTCATTTTGGACTTACGAGTTTGAGGTGATAGCTGGGTAGTGGGTCTAGCTGGCAGCTGGTAATACAGGAGCGTGTGTGTGTATGTGTGTGTGTGTGTGTGTGTGTGAGAGAGAGAGAGAGAGAGAGAGAGAGAGAGAGAGAGAGAGAATTTCTTGTTAAAAATTGAACTCAACCTCCGGGAGATGTCGCTTGCACTGCCCTAGGCTTGCCTGCGGGCCAGCGCTGTCACTTGTCACTTGTCTCGGTGACTGCATGCACCTGAGAACCATCAGACAGCACCTCAGGCCTCAGTCCCACTCCCCAGAGGAAACTCCTGCCAGCAGTTTTTAATGTGCTCTTCCTCCAGAAATTTGTACAGACATCTAAGGCTGTGCATCGCTAGAAAAGGTGAGTCAGACACCAGCAGAAACTTGCTACACACACTACGTCAGGCAGGTAGTGACTTCCCAAGTGTCATGTCGTGGGTCCCTCTGTGCCCCAGGGTTCAGTGCTGCCTACAGGCCGGCCGCTGAGTTCCCTCTCTGGGTGCTTAGGTTCTCTGGCTGCCCTGTGTGGAAGCTCTTGGTCTGTGGCCTAGATTGTTAGAGAAACGCGAGCCCTTTCTCCTTTAAGGGTTCGTTTTCTTTAATGAATATTTTTCCTTGTTATAAAGATATACAGTGGTAGGGCCGGCTGAGTGGCTCAGTTGGTTAAGAGCTCGCTCAAGAGTTTGAGCTCTGAGCAACAGTGGTTCGAGTCAGCCCGAGCTGAGCA